TTGAGCACTAAGGTGTGCCTGTCCCAAGCCATGGTATTTTCAATAACCTCATATACATGCAAAAGCTGGACAGTGAATAAGAAAGACCAAAGAAGAATTGATGCTCCTGGAGTTATGGTGTTGGAGGAGAATATTGAAAGTGCCCTGGGCTGCCCATAGAACCAACAGATCTGTGTTGGAAGAAGTACAGCCAGAGTGCTCCTTGGAGGCCAGGATGGCCAAACTCCATCTCTCACACTTCGGACATATTGTCAGGAGGAACTAGTCACTGGAGAAGGATATCATGTTTGGTAAGGTGGAGGGTTAGAGGAAAAGAGGAAGATCCCCAGCGAGATGGATTGGCAAAATGGCGGCATCAATGGGTTCAAGTGTGGCAATAGTAGTGAGGTTGGCCCAGGACTGGGCAATGTTTAGTTCTGTTGTGCATAGGGTTGCTATGAGTTGGTACTGACTCGATGGCACCGGACAACAACAACACAGTCAACACCCAGGGAAGGAAGAGTCATAAAGTACCATAATGCATTGAGCCATCTACTGCAATAGACTTTAAAGTGATGACGAGCAAAACTGTCAGTCATTTTTCTCACTTATTCGTACTTGACTCCTGTTAGTTTTCAGTCGCCTCATATGCACATAAAAACTGGACAATGAATAAGGAAAACCAGAGACGAATTGATACCTGGTCATGAAGAATGGACTCTGGTCATGAAGAAGAGTACTGAATGTATTGGCGTTCCAGAAGAAGGAACAAATCTATCTTGGAAGAAGTATAACCAGAACGTTCCTTAGAAGTGAGGGTGAGGGGACTTCCTTTTATGTCCTTTGGACATGTTATCAGGGGGACCAGTCCCTGGAGGTACAGTGGGGTGTCAGGGAAAAGAGGAAGACCTTAATGAGATGAGCGGACACAGTTGCTGTTGTGATTGTGAATATGGTGTGGGACACGGCAGGATTTTGTTTTGTTGCACACAGGATCGTTATGAGTTAGACTCAGCCAACCCAATGGCACCTAACACCACCACTAAGTTTATCAACTCACCAAAAACGTTTCATACGATTCTCTTCTTAACTACTTCCAGTGCCTCCTGACAGGCTATTTTTATGAAAACATTCTTTTGAACATATGAGCGACATTGTAAAGTTTGTTCAGTTTGTGGAAAGCTGAGGATTATGGGCTCTTTACGTCCATAAGTCAGGTATGAATACAAACAAAAATCTCAGTATTTCATACGGAATTTCCCCGCCTATTGATGCTCAGTGCCGTTGAGTCGATTCCGACCCATAGTGACCATGAAGTCTGAAATCAGAGTTGGAAGCACCAAGCTCTCTTGCTGAAGGACTCCCGGGGGCGGGAGCCTGGAGAGGTGTGTGGGGTCACACACAAGGGGGCGGTACCGCCGACAGGCTGCAAGGCAAGGGAGTCTGGGGGCGTGGCCGGGGACGCGGCCCTGGCGGGGATTGGCTAAGGTCGACGGCAGTTCACGTGGGGCGTCTCCAGGGAAACCGGTAGCAGCTTTGGGCGCGGGCTGGTAGCGGACTCAAGTTGCTGCGCTGTGTGAGAGCTCTCGGAGCGTATTGCGGTCAGTTCTTCCAGGCAGGGCGGCGAGACGCGGTGAGCCGACCGATCCGCGGGTCTGGGATCTTCAAGCTCCGGGGGCCAGTGGGGTCAGGGAGGACATTTGGGAGCCTGACCCACGGGTGGCTGGGGGAATCGGTGAGCCGTTATCCCCGCAGTCATTGTTGTTGGTTCCCCAGCCGCAAGGGAAGGAGGGCCTGCTGTCCATGTGTCCTTCTGATGGTGACCCAGGCCATGTGGCCCTAAACATATAGCGCGCTCTCATAAAAGGGACCCGGTCCTCTTAGGGCGATAGCGAAAGTTTCCTCCGGAGAATCCATGCCCCGGACGAGCTTTTGAGAATGGACCTGGGTGGAATTCGGTGGGCATCTTGGGGCTTGGTGGGTCTGGAGCCGGTGCGGTTCAGGGGTGGGGGCCTGCCTGGGGTAAGTTTCGATGACCACGGGCTCTTGATGGCCGTCAGCTGCCCTTAGGGCGAATGTCCGTCCTCTCAGCTTTGCTTCCAGGTTCAAGGGGAGACACATGGAGAGTGTTGGCTCAGCTGTGGGCTGTGGCCCGGAAACAGCCAAGGATCACAGCCCCGAAGTGCCAGAGACAGGGACAGGCGGGGAGTCTACTGTGGCTGAGGACCCCAGGAGGCAGGGGAGCTCCCCATTGGTCCTCCAAAGGTGTGGTGATGCGGTACTCTTCGTATTCAGAACAGGAAAGAGATTGTCATGTCCTCTCCTGGCCTGCTGGGCAGCTTCCCAGCCCAGCATCCATCTGTCCATCTGTCCATCTTGCTGGTCCACTCACTGCCCCTTAAGCTTTCCACACACCCTCCCTTGTCCTAAAAAGTTCCTGTAAGGAAAAGAAAGAACGAGACGAAGGAGAGAGTAAACCTGGGAGGGGGTAGTTTTCAGTAACTAAAGGAGACCAAGAGCCCGTCTGTTCTCTTACAGACTGGGGTATTTCAGGTGGTGTGGTCTGGGTACAGTTCTGGGGAGTGTACAGTGGGTGGGGGTATGGAGATTTGGGCAGGGGTATGGAGATTTTCCTGAAACCTGGAATTAATGGGGGGGGGGGGGAGAGGGTCTCCAGGTGTAACAAAGACCCAAGCTTCACGGGAGACCTGAAGCTCAAGCAGGACCCCATTCAGTGACAATTGGGGGTAGTTGCAACGCGATTCTGTTGATCAGGTGCAAAGTCTTTCAGTTCCATTCCATGTTTAGACATTTTTCAGTCCGTGTCCCTGAATGTCTGCTCCTGCCGTTCTAGGAGAGGTGACCCTGGGGGCTGGGAGCAAGGGGACAAGCCTGGAGGGGGAATGGGCTTAGGGCTTCCATGGCCCACAGCCACTTACCTGGCCAGACAAACAAACGTGGATTTGCACCCTTATTGTTCCCATTTCCTGGGTGGCCCTGAACAACCTATGCCTCTGTTTCCCTTTCTGCAGAATGCCAATAACAATAGTCCCTGCCCCCACCCCCCACCGCCTACAGGCAGTCTAAGAAGGTGGGGGGTGTGCACTGGATGCTTTGGCCATCCCTCGTCACCGTCCTTCCTCTGCCTACCTCTCCCCAGGGACCTGGCCCTGGAGATGGAAGCGGATGAAGAGTCCCAGTGTCCACTCCAGGAGAAGGACCTGAAGGAGGCCAGCATGCAGCTTGTCCAGGGCAGACAGGACTGGCAGGATGGATGCAGCTACAGGGGCGAGTTCGGGCAACACACCAAACTGGGGTTTGGTGAATTCTACTGGCCCACCGGCGAGGTGACCGCTACCCACCTGCTAGGGGGTCAGGGCCCGTGATGGGGCTTTGTTCTTAAATCCAGAGACAGGAGAATGCTAACAGGGCTTACTGCCTCCCTGCTTGAGAAATGGCCAGAGGGAAAATTCTCGGATCTGGGAGACAGTGGCTGGAGATCAAGTCTTGTTCCAGCCCGTATTTTAAAGGGTGGGTTGCTGAGGTATGGAGTGCATTCACTTTGGCAAGTTTGCCTGGAATTCGAGACGAAACAACGGACAGAGAAGGGGACCGCATGCTTGTGCAAAATGGACCTGCAGTGGGTGACCGGCTGGCCGAGGACCTGTGCTTGGTGTCTCTGTTTGTTGAGCAGAGCAGGCTTCTGGGGTATAGTCTGGGTTTAGGAGACGCTCTCCAGGGGGCCCAGGATTTAAGGATTTCCTGTGCTGCATGGTGTCCCTGCAGCTGCACTGGGCACCCAGGGGCAGGACTGTGGTTCAGAGGTGACTTTGGTAGAGGTTTTGCTTGGCAGCGATGTAAGGACATATTTGGAACTCTGCTGGCATTGTGCTATAAGCACTGGACTGGTAACCACAGGGGTGGACAGTTGAAGCCCACCGGCCTCTCCACAGCAGGAAGATGAGGCTATCTGCTCCCATGGAGTGTTAAGCTCTAGATAGGAGGCGGAATCAACCTGATGGCCCTGAGTTTGGTGTTGATTTTTGTGCGTATTTGGGAGAAGGAGCCCTGATGGTGCAGTGCTTAAGTGCTCAACTGAAATGTTAGGGGTTCAGTCTCACCCCTCAGGAGAAAGCTGTGGTTGTCTACTTCCAGAAAGATTCAAATCCCAAACCCCGAACTGTTGCCATTGACCTAGTTCCTGATCATAGTGACATCTAGGACAGCGGAGAGCTCTTTCTCCTTCGGCGCAGAAGGCGGATTCGAACCACTGGCCTTTCAGTTAGCAGCTGAGTGCTTACCCACCACACCGTGCCAGCATCCTCCTTCTGTAAGACCACAGAGAGCTCTACGGTGTCCCACGGGGTTGCTGTGCGTTGAAATGGACTCCACAGCATCAGGTTTGGTTTAGGGGATGTAGGGGAGTTCTCTGCGAGCTATCCACTAGGTACTCATTCTGAGTGACAACACTAACTAATCCCGGCATCATGTTGACCACCGGAATGTGAAGACACCCAAGTGGTCTCCATTCCTTTCCTACCAGATGCTTTGGTTCACAGGATGGCCTGTCAGGCTCTGGAGGTGACCAGCAAGAGTAGCTTCTCGGGCGAGAAGTCTTACTGAGCCCCCTCCTCTGCAGATGTACCGTGGACATTTCTACCGTGACCACCTCCATGGCTTGGGCACCTACACATGGCCTGATGGCTCCAGTTTCACCGGCACCTTCTACCTCAGCCGCCGAGAAGGTTATGGGACACTCTCCCTGAAGTCCAAGCTCTTTCAGGTGACAGGGACAGAATGCTCTGGGGGACTTTCTTTAATTGGAGATTGCTTTCTTATTTTTACTGATTATAAAAGTAATGAAGAATCAGTCACTGGTGTAGGAATCTTTTTATATCAGCCTAAGGGTTTAAATAGAAAGGAAACATCTCCTGCTATTCTCATAGTAGGGAAGAAAATTGTTATGTATCTTTCAGAGTGAAAAAATGTACCGTAAATATTTACTTTCTAATATACAAACCGGAGTCCAGGTATGGCGCTGTAGGATAAGCACTGGGTTGCTAACCCCAATGTCAGTAAGTCAGACCCACCAGCTGCTCCTTGGGAACCTAAACAGGGTCACTATGAGTCAGAACTGACTCAGAGGCACCTCACAACAATAGAGAAACTGTATCACTCTACATAACATTGTTTCGAAGCTTGCCTTGTTCCTGCATTCTGTCCTGGCTCTGCAAACACCAGGGGGCTTCAGAGAGCTCGTGGAGAAATTCCAGGATCTTTTCATTCAGTTATTTCCAGGAACTTTTTGACAAAAAAGTTTGTCATGATCCACACAGTTGAAAGCTTTTGCATATTCAATAAAGCACAAGCAAATATCTTTCTGGTGTTCTCTGCTTTCAGCCCAATGTCATCTGATGTTAGCAGTGATATCCTGGATAGCTCTGTGTCCTCTTCTGAATCCAGCTTGAACTTCCGGTAGTTTCTTGTCCATGTACTATTGCACCCGTGTTTGAATTATCTTAAGCAAACTTTTACTTGCATATGTTATTAATGATATTCTTCAATGATTTCGGCATTCTGTTGGGTCACCTCTCTTTGGAATGGGCACAATTGGTGAACCAGGTAGCCGTTTCCCAAATTTACTGGCAGAGATGAGTGAGTGCCTCCAGTGCTACATCAGTTTTTTTGTTTGAAAGATTTCAATTTATATTCAGTCAATTTCTGGAACCTTGTTTTTCACCAATACTTTCATTGCAGATTGGACTTCTTCCTTCAGTACCATTTTTTTTTTTTTTTAAGTTTTTATTGTGGATTGAGTGAAAGTTTACAGGGCAGATCATCAGTTTTACATTCAACAAATCATATACTTTGTTTCATTGCAATGACGATAATACCCTCCATGTAACATCAGTTAACAGTATTTCTATTCATTTTAGCTTTTATTTATTTTTTAACTCTTAGTCATATATACTAATTTAAACAACCAAAGGGCACATTCTACAAGTCTGCCTCCTGGCTGTCAGCTCTCAGTCCCTCTCTTTCCATGAGTCTAGAGTCCTCAGCTGCTCCATCTCTCCATGTCCCCATCTCTGCCTTCATCTCTGGTGTTGCTGCTTCTCTGGGTAAGGTCTGGCATTCCGCTTGCATTCTTCTCTCTTGATGGTGCTAGGGTCTTCTGTTTCTGGACTCTAAGATTAACTACTCCCCCATTTTTGTTACAAAACTTCTAGTGTACAATTATGACAGTTGCAATTAGTCATGATAACAATTACTCACTATTGAATTATAAGGATCGTATCCCCATCTCCTTTTACCACACCCATCTAGATAAGATGAAAACTATTTAGTGGAGACTCTATCTTTCCCCACATACTCTTAAACTAAACTCCCTCTTGAAACCTTGTAAGCCAGTCACTTAGTGCCTTTATTGCCCCCTCATTTTAGGTAGCCAATGTCTAAGTTGCCCATCCCTATCTACCCTGTGTACAGAGGGGACAGCCTTGATACCTGAAGTGAAGACTCCTTTCCTCTCTGTTTGTATTTAGAGTTACTACCTCCATGAGTATAGGTCAGGTTCATCAAATTGTAGCAATTTACCCTCATTTCCATTATCAAAAAAACAATTAAAAAAAAAAATCTTCCTCTAGTCGAGTTCTGATTACCAAGCCATTGAGGCTAGGTCAAATGGGTACTATCTGCAAGTTTGGGTGTTCTTGTGCATCTCCCCTCACTTCATATCAGCTGGATGTTTCACTCTCAGTTCTAGCCCTCAGTGGCTATGTCCTTGTCCATGGACTCAAGTGTCCCCACGTCTCACCACACTTTGGACAAACCAGCTCTTCCTCTTCTCTGTCTCATCTCTAGGTTAACGGGAGTCTATGGACTGTGGTTGAACTCAGCCCATTTCTTCATTGCTGCCTTTCCCCCTCTTCCACTCACCAGTAGCCCAGCAAGCTTACATGCCTGCTCATGTGTTCCCTTTGAGTTTCAGTCTCAGAGGGGGGAGGACCATGGTTCCTAACAATATGCTGCCTCCTGAAATGGTTGGACACTGACCATTTCTTTTTGGTACAGTGATTCTGTATGCCTTCCATCTTCCTTTGATGCTTTCTGTATCATTCAATATTTTGCCCATAGAATCCTTCAGTTTTGCAACCCAAGGCTTGAATTTATTTTTAATGTTTAATGTGAATTATGTGATAGTTTCCATGGGAGAACATTAGTTTTACATTCATTCTATCATATATCGTTTCATTGCCATGGTTACAATCCCCTCCATGCATCATCAACCAACCAAAGGGTTCACCCTGCAATTCTGCCCCTTACACTACCCCCCTCCAAGTCTTCAACACACAGCCCCTCGCCCTCTCTGGATCTAAAGTCCCCAGCTGCTCTATCTCTCCACGTCATCATCTCTGCCTCCATCTCAGGCATCACTGCTTCTCTGGTTAGGGTCCCACTCTCCGCTCTTCTCCATTAATGGTCCTAGGGACATCCACTCCTAAACTGGAAAGTTAATCACTCCCCTCCTTGCTATAAAATGTCTACCTTTACATTTCCAACCCTCACAATCAGTTCTGATAACAATTATTCACCAATGTATCACAAGAGACCCATCTGCCTTTCATTTCATCAGCCCCACCTAGACAGATTGGATACTAGTCACTGGAGATTCTACCTTCCTCCAGGCCCTCTGGATCTAGGTTCCCTCTTGAAAGCTTGTAAACCAGTCACTTCTTGTCTTTGTGGCCCCACCCCCGCCATTTTGGGTAGCCAACGTCCAAGTTGCCCATCTCTGTCTACTCTGTGTATGGAGGGGAATGATTCTTGCTGTAAGGACTTGTTCCCTCTTTTGAGCTACTGCATCCATAGGTGTAGTCAAGTTCATAAAATTGTATCAGATTATCAGATTACTCTTTTTTTCCTCTTCTTTCTTCTTCTAGCTGAGCTCTGATCATCCAGTCATTGAAGTCAGGTCAAGTGGGTATTATCTGCAAGTGTGGGTGTTCTTGTGCATATGCCCTCTCTTCTTATCAGCTGGACACTTCGCTCTCCGCTCTAGTCCTCTGTGGCTATGTCACTGACTCTGGGCCCAAGAGTCCCCAGGTCTTGCCACACTGCTGGCCAACCAGGTCTTCACCTGGGTTCACAGAAGTCTATTGAACATTGTAGGGCTTAGCTCACCACTTCATTACTGTTTTCCCCTCACTTCCCCTTATCAATGTTGAGCGTGGTCACCAATCAGAGCGTGTATTCCCATTGAGTCTTAGTCTTGGAAGGGGGTTTGCACTGAGGGGACCCGACCACTTAAGGCTTGAATTTTTTATTCAGTTCTTCCAACTTGAGAAATGCTGAGCATGTTTCTTAGTTTTGGTTTTCTAATTCCAGGTCTTTGCACATTTCATTATAATACTTGCCTTTGTCTACTCAAGCTGCCCTTTGAAATTGCATGTTTAGCTCTATTACTTCCTTATTTCTTCCAGTTGCTTTAACTTTTCTATACTGGAGAGTAAATTTCAGAGTCTCTCCTGACATCCATTTGGTCTTTTCTTTCTTTCCTGTCTTTGAAGTGACTTACTGCTTTCTTCCCGTATGTTGTTCTTAATGGTATCCCACAACTTTTTGTCTTCAGTCTAATGCATCTCTAAATCAGGTAGGATACATTTGAGGTCATGTTTGACTTTTGTGGACTTGTTTTAAGTATGTTCCGCTTCAGCCTGAACTTGCATATGAGCAACTGATGGTCTGGTCCACAGTCTGAACTTCTTTGGCCTGATGCTGAGTTTTCCCACCATCTCTTTCCACACATGTGGTCAATTTAGTTTGTATGTATTCCATCTGGTGAGGCCCATGTGTACAGCCAGCTATTAAGTTGTTAAAAACACAGATCTGCAATGAACACACATTGGACTTGTAAAATTCTCCAGAATCATTTCTATCACTAATATCTATTTTCCAACCTTCACATTCCAATCACCAGCAATTATCGATGCATCTTGATTGCATCTTTGACTCATTTTAGACTGAAGAAGTTGGTAGAATTCTTCAGTTTCATTATCACTGGCTTTAGTGGATGGTGCATAAATGTGAATAATAGTGGTATTAACTGGTCTTCCTTGTTATTGTTAAGTGCTTGTTGGTAAGTCTAGACTCATAGGGACCTTGTAGAGTGTTTCTGATAGCAGCTAATGGGTTTGAACCATCAGTAGTCCGTGCTTATCTGACAGTGCCACACCTGGGCTCTGTCTTCCTTGTAGGTGTATGGATATTATCCTAGCACAAACAGCATTGTACTTCAAGGTCGATGTTTTTGATGATTGATGTAACATAATTCCTGTTGACTCTGTAGTTCCTGGTATTGTAAAACTATTTGATTGTCTGATTCAAGACAGCCCATAGCATTCCATTTCAGCTCGCTAATACCTAGGCTAGTGTTCTTTATTTGTTCCACTTCATGTTTGACAGCTTCCAATTTTCCTAGCTTCACATTTTATACAGTCCATGTTCCAATTAACAGGTGTTTGCAGCTGTTTCTTTTCAGTGTGCGTTGTGCCCCATCAGCAAATAAATGTCCCGAAAGCTTGCTCTGTCCGCGGCATCACGGTCAGTTCTACTTTGAGGAGGCAGCTCTTTCCCGTTGTATTTTGAGTGCCTTCCAATCTGAGGGGCTCATTTTCCATCACTCTAGCTGACAATAGTCAGCTACTATTGCTAAGAGTCTCGGCCGCTGCACACTCAGAAGTAGTCTGTCTGCCTCTCCTTCCTAGTTGGTCTTAGTCTGAAAATTCAGCAGGAACCTGTTCACCACCGGTGACCCTGTTGGTGTTTAAAATACTGGTGGCATGGCTTCCAACATGTCAGCAACACAAAGCCACCGCAGAAGGACAAACTGACAGATGAAGGGTGCACTGAAAGGCTAGAGCACAGTTTTGTGTTTTTATGGTGGTGAGAAATATGCACACCAAAATATTCACCGAACCAACAATTTCTACATTTTCATTTCAGTGGTATTGATTATATACTTCACGTTGTGCGACCTTTGTGCTGGACTTTTCCAAACCATCCCACCTTCTTATTAATATAACAAACTCAGTGTCCAACTCCCCACAGCCCCAGTCCCTCTGGTAACCCTTTATACGTAACAGTTTTCCCTGCTGATGGAGCCATGAGGTTCGCTCAGGTTTGTAGGTGTTAAGCACAGAGCTGTTGAGAACGATTTCCTGTTTTCACCGGTGATGGAGCTGTGAGATTCTCTCGGGTTTGTAGGTGTTAAGCACAGAGCTGGTGATAACTACTCCAGTCCAGGTGCCCACTCTGCGGACTCACTGGACTCTCTTTCCTTCGTCCTGCTGGACCTGAACTTATAGGGACTGTACAAGGCTGACAAGCGCTTCGGGCCGGGTGTGGAGACCCACCCTGACGGCAGCCAAGACGTGGGGCTGTGGGTGCAGGAACACCTTGTCAAGCTGTGCTCGGTGATGCCTGGCAGCTTCTCTCTGCTCAGCTACCCCGAGCTGGCCCACTTCCTCACACACGTCCCGACCAGACTCAGTCTGTCAGATGAGGAGAAGATGGAGTGGGATGTGGACCAGGACCGGGACCCTTTCTTCTACGAGTACAAGCGGTTCCTACTGAATGATGACATCACGCTGCCCCCAGACATGCATGTCTACTCCACTGACAACAGCCACCTGCCCATGACCTCCTCCTTCCGCAAGGACTTGGACGCCTGGGTCTCCATGGATGACCTCCCACCCTTCATGGAGGACGAAGAACCCTGGTTCATTACAAACGAGACACCCTTGATGGTCAGAGTCCAGAAGCAGACGTACAAGTTCAGGTAAGCAGCTGCCCACTCCTCCTGGCCCGTCCTCCCTAGCCCTATTGGTCAGGTGTGCACCCAAGGACGGTGCTCCTGAATTTGCCTAGTGCCAGCTGCCACTTAGCGTCCAAGTCCCGGACTGTGTAAATGTCACCCTGTGAGACGTGCCAGGGGCAGCCCAGGGTAGAATCCTTACTGTCCACGTGGAGACCCTCTAGAATTCACTTCCAGTGGACCTCAGACATAGCCACTATCTGACTATCAGTGGGTGTGAGGCTAAACAGGATTCAGAACTTCCAGACTAAGATAGAGTAGGAAGAAAGACCTGGAGACCACTTCTGAAAATCAGCCAATGAAAACTCAATGGCTCACAACAGTGCAATCTGTAATGATCTTGGGGTTGGTGTGGGACCAGGCAGGGTTGTGTTCCACTGTGCGTGTGGTCACCAGGGGACCGGGGAGCACAGTCTAATAGTAAAGCAGGAGGAATTCCTGTGAGCCCAGATGCTGTGGGGAACTGAGCCAGGCAGTGTCTCCTCTGTGAAGGACAGGAGCAGGGACCCCAGGAGACCCCTCCACTCTCAGGAGGAAGGAGTGTCCAGAAGGTTGCTGAGTGAAGGCGATACCACGCAGACGCGGTTTAGCAGAAGCTCTGGAGTGGATGGAGCCCACGCCAGATCCCACTCTGAGCCCTGTGTGGTTTCCTCTTCTGTAGACAGGAGCTAGTGCCCCTCCCCACCCCCGCAGGGTGATGTCCACAATGCAATGTCTGGTGGACACTGAAGGGAGGGACTGTCACCATGCTTTGTTAACCTGGGATCTGGTCAGAAAGTCAAGGGCAGGGGGGGACCTGGGGACTAGCTGGCCCTCTGACTTCTCCAAGGTCAGCCGTGAAGAGCGGAGCTACTTCTGCTAGTGTACAACCCCAGGGAAGTTAACATCTACTTAAGGAGAAAGCTTTAATTTTTCAATTAAAACATAAGTATTTTAATACCTTTAAATATTTGGTCCCCAGATAGCCTTGGAATATTTAGAACGTGTATTTTATGAGCACAAGTGTCTACTTTTCTATCCATCCATCTATCATACATACCCACCCTCTATCCATCATCTACCCAACCTATGCCTCCAGTCATTCTTCCACCAAATCCATCCATCTATCATTCACACTCACCCTCTATCCATTATCCATCTATCTACCTAACCCATCCCTCCAATCATCCATCCACCCATGCATCCATCCACCCATGCATCCACTCAAACCATCCATCCATCACACCCACCCATTCATCCACCCAATCCATCCATCCATCCATCCATCCATTCATCCATCCATCCATCATCCATCCATCTAGTCACTCACCCATTTATCCATTTATCATTCCTCGTCCACCCATCTATCCACGTACCAATCCACTATCCATCATCCAGCCACTCATCCATCCATCCACCACCTGTCCATTCATCTGCCCATCTATCTATCCACCTGTTCATTCATCCATCATCCATCCATCTATCCTTAAATCCCCTAATCATGAGGACTGTGGGGTACAAAAGCCACCATAAACCCTGGGGTCCTTGACTGTTCCCACAAGCTATATGCACAGAAAATGTCAGGGGTGTGCGGTGAACACACCAGGGGTCTGGTTTGTTCGAGTAGGAAAGCAAGAGATTAGCAGATGGGTGCTCTAGGTGTTGGGTGCCCAGCTCTGTGCCCCACACAAGACCCCTGTCGCCTGTCTTCCAAGGACTTTGCTGTGAGAGGCCCTTTCTGGAGTCTTTCCCAGGACACATGGATGCTTAACCCGAGGACCTCTATGGTTAGCAGGTCCTCACTTCAATGAGTCTACACTTACCAGGGTTGGTGGTTGAGGGATATAGCCTGAGAGACAGAGGGCACAGGGGCTGAGCAGGGGAGAGGGAGGGAGGTGTCCAGGGCTGGTCTGACACCATTGAAGCCCACTGCATTACAGGAACAAGAAGGCTTACACCAGCTGGAACATGGCCGCCATCATGCAGGGTGACCGCAGCAGCTTCGCTCACCATGGGCCCAAGGAGCGGCTGGCTAGGGAGATGATCCTGAAAGCCGAGAATGGTGACCATCACTGGATCGATGGAATCCTGCGGGACAACCTGGCCTCTCCCGACGTGGCTGACGCCAAAGGCTACACTGTTCTGGCTGCGGCTGCTGTAAGCCCTAACCTTCTGCCTTTAGCACTGACCCATGAGGTGCAGCGGATGCGCGCTCTCCAGCTCTGCACCAGTATAAGGGAGCAGGTGCCCTGAGTCCGCGCCTGCTCCATGGGCCCCCAGCATGAGGCCCACCCGCCCATGTGACGTGCAGGGTCCAATGGAAAAGAAGGGTGGAGCGTGACCGCTCAGTGTCCAAGTGAACCAGGACTGCAGTAACAAGTCACCGCCAGCTGGTGGCGGCAGAGAGCAGAGAGCGAGTCCCTCACCAGGCTCTCTGTGTAGACACGTCCTCACGTGGTGGCGGTGTCCTTCCCCTGTCTGTCCCTCCTCCTGTGTTCCCTCCTCCTGTGTGAGACATCTCTCACTCATTTGGGATTGGGGCCCACCGTGCTCCAAAGATTTACTTCATGTTGATTTAACTGAAGACATCTACGAAGATCTTAATTCCAAACAAGGATGTGATCACAGTGCTGGCCTTAGAATTTCAGCCCTTCTTTGGGGTGCAACCCAACCAATAACAGATTGTTGTTGTTGTTGTTATGTGCCGTGGAGTCGGTTCTGACTCATAGCGGCCCTGAACAGGGTTTCCGAGGCTGTAAATCTTTACAGGAGTAGAACGCCTCATCTTTCTTCCGCAGAGCAGCTGGTAGTTTCCAACTGCTGACCTTAAGGTCCGCAGCCCGATTCGTAACCACTACGCTAGCAGAGCTCCAGATTAGCACAGGAGAAAAATGAGGCTTCCAACGCCCACAAAGCTCTACACCATCCCTCGTCTGTGAGTTTGTCGTATTGTTGTGACTTGTGCGTTGCTGTGATACCGGAAGCTATGTCCTCTGTACTTTAACTACCAGCAGGGTCACCCTGGAGTCCTGGTATGGTGCTGTACGTTAGGCACTGGACTGCTGACTGTGAGGTTGGTGGTTCAAACTCGGCAGCCTCTGCTCAGGAACCCTCTAGAGAGCGTCTACATTTCAGAACAGATTCGATGATATTTAACAATAATAGCCACAGGTGTGAGTGGAGCTCCTAGACAAAGAAAGGCTAGGAAGGAGAACTAGACCACTTCTGAACAGTTAGCCACTGAAAACCTATGAATAGCAGCCGAGCATTGTGTGATGTCATGCCAGAAGACAAGCCCCTCAGATTGGAAGACACTCCAAATCCAGCTAAAGGAGAGCACCTCCTCAAAATAGAGCTTATTGTAATGACTTGGTCTGGAGCAAAGATTTCTGGACCTTCATTTGTGGATGGGGCATAACTCAAAATGAGAAGAAACAGCTGCAACCATCCATTAGTAATCAGAACGTGGAATGCACAATGTAAGAACCTAGGAAGGTTCATCAACACGTGAAAATCTATATCCTAGGCATTAGTGAATTGAAATGGAATGGTTTGGGCCATTTTGAATTGGACAAGATGCCAAGAATGACAAACTGAAGAGTAAAGTCAATGAGGCAGTATTCGTACTTAAAGGACATTTCAAAATCTGTCTTGAAGTACAATGCTGTCTGTGATTGGACAATATCTACACACCAGGAATGGAAGACCAGTTAATATCTTTATTATTCTAATTTACACACCAACCACTAAAGTCAGTGATCATGAAATTTGAAGAATTTTACCAACTTCTTCATCCTGAAATTGATCAAATGTGCAGTCAAGATGCACTGGTAATGGTGATTGGAAGGCTATAGTTGGAAATACAGTGGGAGGACATACGGCTGCCAGCGCTCACTCATCTAAGCCAACAAATGTGGGAGACAGCTACCTGGCCAACCGACTGGAAGAGACTTATATTTGTGTCCTGCAAAATAAGAAGTGCCAAACCATTCCTCCCATAGCCTTCTCTACTCAGCCAAGTTCAAGAATCCATTGAAGGGGCCAGACAGCAGGCACCATGCTCAGTTATGGGGTTTATTAGGGAAGTTAAAAGGTTACAATTCAGAGTTAGAAATGTGTTAGGGGACAGTTGTTAGAGCCAATTGCTGCTGCTAAGTGCCCACAGGACACATCAATCCACCGTATACCTCAGCCTGAAGACACTTGACCCTAGCTCCGTGGGTCACATAGCTAGCTTTCTCAATTAAGTGCCCAGAGGCACCCCATTCTGTGAGCAAGCTTCCTGCCCACCGTCCATCTGTGGGTTGGGAAGTCCACTGCTTTGTCTTGTGCTCTGTGTCTTGGTTCTGCTGACTACGCCTCTGTTGTAACAGCTTTGTGTCCCTGGGTCAAAGAGGTATGATGGCAGTGAGATCCCCCCTCCTGCTTCTGATATGGTTCATTTTATAACCACGTAGGAGGTTCAAGTTTTTACAATGACAATGAACTCTGCTGACCTCCACAGCTGCATCCTGTCATCCTGTTAGCATCTTCTCCCACCTTCTCAGACCCCGACTCAGCAGGGCAGAAACATTGTTTGGTGGGAGTTACAGACAATGGGTAGAAGAGACATTAGATCCTTCACTACACCACATGCCCATTGCAAAGACAGGCGAAAATCATTGAACAGTATCATTAATATCACACACAAGTAGAAGTTTTCTAAAGATCATTCAAAAACGTTTGCAGCACAGCATTGACAGACAGCTGCTAGAAATTCAAGCCAAATTCAGAAGAGGATGTGGAAGGAGGGCTATCATTGCTGGCATCAGATAGACCTTCAGTGAAAGCAGAGACTATCAGAAAGATGCTTACCTGTGCTTTACTGACTATGCAAAGGCTTTCAACTGTGTGGATCAGGACAAACTATGGATACCATTGGGAATAATGAGTATTCCAGAACACTTAATTATGCTCTTGAGGAACCTGTGCATGGACCAAGAGATAGTTGTTCAAACAGAACAAGAGGACACGGAATGGTTTAAAATCAGGATACGTGTGTGCCAGGTGTTCTTTTACCACACTTATTCAGTCTGTCTGCTGAGCAAATAATCTGAGAAGCTGGATTAAATGAAGAAGAACATGGCATCAGGATTGGAGGAAGACTCATTAACAACCTGCAATATGCAGATGATGCAACCTTACTTGCTGGAAGTCAAGAGGACTTAAAATACTTACTGATGAAAATCAAAGACCACAGACTTATGTATGGATTGCACTTCAGTGTAAAGAAAACACAAATCCTCACAACTAGTCCAATAAATAGCATCCTGATAAATGGAGGAAAGATTGAAGTTGTCATAGACTTCATTTTGCTTGGATCCACAGTCAACACTTTTGGAAGCAGCAGTCAAGAAATCAAATGACGTATTGCATTAGGCACACCTGCTGCACAAGATTTCTTGAAAGTGTTGAAGAGCAAACATGTCAATTTGAGAACTAAGGTGCGCCTGACCCAAGCCATGGTAGTTTCAGTAACCTCATATACTTGTGAAAGTCCAACAGTGAATAAAGAAGACTGTAGAAGAGTCAATGAATCTGAGTTATGGTGTTGGAGGAGAATACTGAAAGTGCCATGGGCTGTCAAAAGAACCAACAGATCTGTGTTGGAAGAAGTGCAGAGTGCTCCTTAGAGGCCAGGATGGCCAAACTTCATCTCTCATACTTTGGACATATTATCAGGACGGACAAGGTCCTGGAGAAGGACACAATGCTTGGTAAAGCAGAGGGTCAGCGAATAAGAGGAAGACCCCTAAGGCAACGGACTGGCACAGTAGCAGCAGCAATGGACTCAAGTGTAACAGCAGTTGTGAGGATGGCACAGGACCAGGCAGTGGGTGTCTCGTTGTGTTGTGCTCAGGGTTGCTATGAGTTGGAAGGGATGTGAGAGCGCCTAACAACAACAACAACACACCACAGACGGAGTGCGGAGTGCCCGCCACCTCCCACCCCAGGGTCCACTCACCCACCAGAGGTTCATATTCCCGTTTATTCTGCCTCCCCAATCTTGTTCAGGATGGGTCTACTGCCCCCCTACACTCAGAGTGGGCCAGCCTCCCGGGGTCTCCCCCCTTCCCTCAAGGAACCCTCCCACTCGCTCAGTAGGGTCTGCACCCCAGGGTCTCCCTAGGGATGGGTGTCGCCCCTCCTCTGATCTCAGTTGCGTCTGCTATGTGTCCCCCAGGTCCACTGTCAAATGCAGATCATCAACCTACTACTGGACAGCGGGGCGGACGTGAACAAGTGCTCGGACGAGGGCCTCACGCCCCTCAGTATGTGCTTCTTGCTGTACTACCCCACTGGGGCCTTCAAGCCCAACATTGCCGAGAGGACGCTGCCAGAGCCACAGGTCAGAGGCACCACAGTGCCACCGGTCCCGAGATCTTCCAGGGGGTGCGCTGCCACAGAGGGAAGGCTCCATAAGTGGGTGATCTTAGAGACCAGGGATCTTAGGTGTCTGAAATCAGGGCGGAGGCAGGGCTGGGCTCTCTGTGGCCCCGGTGCCACGGGGCTGCTGAAGATGGTGCGTGCCTTTGCTAGTGTCTCTGACTACTGTGCTAGTCTCTGAGACATCACTCAGAAGGGATTAGATTTAGGACTCACCCCACTCAGGTACATCCTGCTTACCATCACAGAAGAAAGCTCTTATTCCCAAACAGGCTCACCTTCACAGCACAGGGATTAGAGCTTCAACATAGTTTTTCTGGGGAGACAGTTTAAGCCATAACCAAGTCCACATGGCAGATTTGACCATGAGATTCCTCCTCGGCAGGGCGATGTGAACACATGCATGCACAAGGGCTTGTGTAGACACCTGTTTCTGTGACCACGTGTGTACACATGTATGAACACTTGCTTTGTGAGCATGTGCATGGGTGTGTGCTTGAACACCCGTTCCTGGTAAACCTAAGTGTTTCAACATCTGCTTCCAGTCTTCTTGGGTGCATGCTCAAGAGTGGGGTTGCTGGGCCCTATGGTAACCACACATTTAACCTATGTGGGGGGGCAGGCTGTTTCTAGGTTGCATGTTTACACCCCACCCGACTCCTCCATGGGGTCCGGTGACAGCCCTCTTTTGGTTGCAGATATTCCTTTTGAGAAATTACTGCATTCCATCCTTGACTACACTTCCCATGTTGCACCACGATTATCCACTGTGTGGGAGCCTTCTGGTTAGCAGTTGAACATTTACCTGTCTCTCTGTGTGTTTGTATTTATAGGTTAGCAGCCAAGTGGTTACCTGTCTGTGTGTGTATACGTTAGCGGCTGAGCATTTACCTGTCTGTGTGTATATAGGTTAGCAGTAAAACACTTAGCTGTCTTTGTGTATGTGTATAGGTTAGAAACTGAGCACTTAGTTTATCTCTGTGCGTGTATATATTGTTGTTGTGAAGTGCCATCGAGTCAGTTCCGACCCATAGCGACCCTGTATAGAGTTTCCAAGGAGCAGCTGGTGAGCTTGGACCACCAAACTTGCGGTTCAAACGGCTTTGCAGTCTGGCGCATTAACCCACAGCACCACATCAGGACTCTCTCTCTCTCTCTCTTTATATATATATTTATGTTGTTAAGTGCCATTGAGTCATTTCTAACTCATAGCAACCCTGTACAGGTCTTCCAAGGAGTGGCTGGTGAGTTTCAACCACCAACCTTGAAGTTCAAACCGACCTTGGGGTCCAGTGCTTATCCTACAGTGCCACACCAGGACTACGTTTTATTATTAGTTGCCACTGAGTTGGTACCACCTCATAGCGACCCTCTGCACAACGGAATGAAACACTGCCCAGTCCTGCACCAACCTCACAATTGATGCTATGCTTGAGCCCATTGATGCTCCCACTGTACCAATCGATGTTGTTGGGGGTGGTGTGTCTTCCTTTTTTTGTGCTGACTAACCACTTTACCAAGCATGATGTCCTCCAGGGACTGGTATCTCCTGGGAATATATCTAAAGTATGAAGTCTGGCCAACCTGACTTCTAAGGAGCATTTGGCTGTACTTCTTCCAATACAGATTGGTTTGTTCTTTAAGCAGTTCCATGGTACCTTTAATATTCCTCTCCAACACCGTAACTCAAATGCACCAACTCTTCTATAGTCTTCCTTATTCACTGTCCAGCTTTCACATGCATATGAGGTTATTGAAAATACCATGGCTGGGGTCAGGTACACCTTAGTCCTCAAGCTGACACCTTTGCTCTTCAGCACTTTAAAGCGTTTGTGCAGCAGCCTTGCCCAATGCAATACGTCATCTGATCTCTTGACTGCTGCTTCCATGGTTGTTGATGGTGGATCCTAGCAAAATGAAGTCTTCGAAAACTGCAGTCTTTTCTCCATTTATCTGGATGTTGTTTATTGGTTCACTACTTAGGAGTTTTGTTTTCTGTGCACTGAGATGCAAGCCTGATGCCCCTTTCTCCTCATAGACTCCAGCTTCTCGAATTATGTGCTCAGCAAACAGATTGAATAAGTATGTTGAAAGAATACAACCCTGGTGACCACCTTTCCTGATTTTAAACCATTCAGCGTTCTCTTGTTCTGTTAAAAAACCTGCCTCTTGGTCTATGTATAGCTTCCTCATGAGCATAATTAAGTGTTCCAGAATATTCATTCTCCACATTATTGGCCATAGCTTGTCATGACCCACACAATCGAAAGAGTTTGCATAGTCAATGATATTCTCTGCTTTCAGCCAAGATCCATCTGATGTCAGCAATATCTCTTGTTCCACGTCTTCTTCTGAATTTGTCTTGAACCTCTGGAAGTTCTCCATCAATGTACGACTGCAGCTGTTTTTAAATTATCTTTAGCAAAAATTGACTTGTATACAATATTAATGATATTGTCCGATGATTTTCACATTCCGTTGGGTCACCGCTCTTGGGAATGGGCACAAATCTGGATCTTTTCCATTCAGTTGGCCAGGTAGCTGTCTTCCAAATTTCTTGGCAGAGATGAGTGAGTGTCTCCAGTGTTACATCAGCTCGTTGAAAGATTTCAATCTGTATTCCATCAATTCCCCGTGCCTTGTTCTTTGCCAATCAATGCCTTCAATGCACCTTGGAATTCCTCCTTCAGTATCACTGGCTCTTGATCATATACTACCTCTTGAAATGGTTTTACATTGACCATTTCTTTTTGGTACAGTGACTCTGTGTATTCCTTCCATCTTTGATGTTTTCTTCATCCGTCAATGTTTTTTCCATAGAATCCTTCAAGACCACAAGCTGAGGTTTCAATTTTTGTTTTAATCCTCTCAGCTTGAGAGATGCTGAGTGTGTTCTTTCCTTTTGGTTTTCTAACTCCAGGTCTTTGCACATTTTGTTATAATATTTGACTTTGTCTTCTCGAGATGACCTTTGAAACTTCCTGTTCAGCTCTTATACCTCCTCACTTCTTCCATTTGCTTTAGCATCTCTACGCTGGAGAGCAAGTTTCAGAGTCTCTTTTGACATCTGCTTTGGTCCATTCATTCTTTCTTGTTTTCCTAATGACCTTTTGCTTTCTTCCTGTATGATGTTCTTGATGTCATCCCACAACTCTTTTGGTCTTCAGTCTTTAGTGTTTAATGCATCAAATCTCTTCTTGAGATGATCTTTGAATTTATGTGGGATATGTTCAAGGTCATATTTTGGCTCTTGTGGACTTGTTTTAACTTTTTTTCAACTTCAGCCCGAGTTTGCTTATGAGCAATTCATGATCTGTTCCACAATCTGCCCCTGGCCTTGTTTTGGCTGATGATGTAGAGCTTTCCACCGTCTCGTTCCACAGATGTAGTCAATTTGATTTCTGTGTTTGCCATCTGGTGAGATCCATGTGTATAGTCATCTTTTATGTTGTTTTAAAAAGCTATTTGCAATGAAGAAGTCATTGTTTGGGCTTGCAGAAATTCTGTCATGTGATCTCCAGCATCATTTCTATCACCAAGGCCATATTTTCCAACTATTGATCCTTCCTCTTTGCATTCCAATTGCCAGTAATTATCAATACATCTTGATTGTATGTTTGATCAATTTTAGGTGGAAGAATTTGGTAGAATTCTTCAATTGCATCATCACTGGCTTTAATGGTTGGTGTGTAGATTTGAATAATAGTGGTATTATCTGGTCTTCTTTGTAGACATATGGATATTATCCTATCACAGACAGATTATACTTCAAGACAGATCCTGACAAGTTCTTTTTGATGATGAATGCAACACCACTCCTCTTGAACTTGTCATTCTTGGCATAGTAAACTATGTGGTTATCAGATTCAAAATGGCCAATACCAGTCCATTTCAGCTCACTAATACTGATGTTTATATGTTCCATTTCATTTTTAACCGTCTCCGGTTTTCCTAGATTCATACTTTGTATATTCCATGTTCTGACTTTTAATGGATGTTTTCAGCTGTTCCTCTTCATTTTGAGTTGTGGCCCATCAGTAAATGAAGGTGTGCATGAAGCACAGGCAGCTCTTCTCCTGTCGTACTTTGAGTGACTTCCAACCTGAGGAGCTCATCTTCTGGCGCTCTATGTGACAATGTTCAATGTTCAATATTCTGGTGCTATGGGACAGTGTTCCACTGCTATTTATAAGTTTTTCAGTGACTAAATATTCAGAAGAAGTCTGTCTCTCCTTCTTCCTCGTCTGTCTTCTCTTGGAAGCTCATCTGAAACCTGTCCATCATGGGTGACCCTGCTGGTATTTAAAATACCCATGGCATAGCTTCCAGAATCACAGCAACTCACAAGCCACCACAGTATGAAAAACTGACAGATGAGTGGTAGAAATCTCTCTCTATCTCTATCTATCTATCTATCTATCTATCTATCTATCTATCTATCTATCTATCATCTATGGAGCTCTGGTAGTGTAGTGGTTACAAGTCAGGCTGCTGACCTCACAGTCAGCAGTTCGAAACTACCAGTGGTTCCTCGGGAGAAAGATGAGGCTTTCTGCTCCCAAAAACATTTACAGCCTTGGAAACCCTGTGCAGGATCACTATAAATCAGAATTGACCCCACAGCACACCACCACAACTATTGTTGTTGTTAGGTGCCATCGAGTCAGAACCGACTCATAGTGACCCCATGCACAGCAGAATGAAACAATGTCCAATCCTGGGCCAACCTCACTACTGTTGCCACACTTGAGTCCATTGATGCTGCCACCTGGCCAGTCCATCTCGTTGGGGGTCTTCCTCTTATTCTCTTACCCTCCATCTTACCCAGCATGACATCCTTCTCCAGCGAATGTTCCCTCCCAACAATATGTGCAAAGTATGCGAGACGAAGCTTAGCCATCTTGGCTTCCAAGGAGCACTCTGGCTGCACTTCTTCCAAAACAGATCTATTGGTTCTTTTGGCAGTCCATGGCACTTTCAGTATTCTCCTCCAACACCCAAATTCAAAGGCATCAATTCTTCTACATTCTTCCTTATTCACTGACCAGCCTTCACATCCATATGAGGTTATTGAAAATATCATGGCTTGGGTCAGGCGCACCTTAGTCCTCAAGCTGACATCTTTGCTCTTCAACACTGTGAAAAGCTCTTGTGAAGACGATTTGCCTAATACAATATGTCGTTTGATTTCTTGACTGCTGCTTCCATGAGTGTTGATAGCTGATCCAAGAAGAATGAAGTCCTTGACAACTTCAATCTCTTCTTCATTGATAAGAATGTTTTTTATTGGTCCAGTGGTGAGGATTTTTGTTTTCTTGAAATTGAAATGTAATTCATACCAAAGGCTGTGTGTGCTCTTTGATCTTCATCAGTAAATATTTTAAGTCCTCTTCATTTCAGCAAGCAAGGTTGTATCATCTGCATATCGCAGGTTGTTAATGAGTCTTCCTCCAATCCTGATGCCACAACTATAGATATGTAATAACCTATATTATAACATGTTGTTGTTGTTAAGTGCCGTCGAGTCGGTTCCGACTCATAGCGACCCTGTACAGGGTTTCCATGGCTGTAAATCTTTACAGAAGCAGAAAGCCTCATCTTTCTCCCACGGAGCAGCTGGTAGTTTCGAACTGTTGACCTTAAGGTTTGCAGCCTGATTCGTAACCACTACGCTACCAGAGCTCCTTTATTATAACATATATATATATATATATATATATATTAGCGGCCAAGTGCTTAATAGCCTTCTCTTTATAAACGTATATTGATAATATTTTTTTTTTTACCCCATCTTCCCAAGGAAGTGACTGGAAGAGTCCCCGTTCTGCCGGGCATCTCTGTGCTGCCCCCGGAGGACCTTGTCCTGTACCAGACCTACTATGGTCCGATCCCGTCCATGCTGGGCACCAACTATGGGTCCGACCCTCATTACCATCTTCCGCTGTCCCAGGAGTCGGCGGACCAGAGTAGAGTGTCCTCGCAGCTGATGTCCTTGAAGGGCAGGGACAACCTCCTGGAGTCTCTGCCAGGGCTGGGTGACACGATGGGGAATGCAGACGCGTGCAGCATCTCCACCTTCGACTCCAACCAGTGTGTCCACAATTTCCCCATCGCTCTCTCTCACGACTTCCTGGAGCGCAGCGCCGGTGTCTACAGCCTGCTCAGGGTCCCGTCCCTGGGCGCCCCTGCCTCGGACAAGGGGACCATGCGGAGCATGGCGCTGTCCATGGTCGAGTGAGTTGCTGGCGGCTGGGGTGGACCTTGGAGGGCATGCTAGAGTGTCTGCCAGGCTAGTGACCCGCACTCGGGGAAGCTGCTCTCACGTGGCACCGTCTGGGCACGGCCTCAGGTGTTGTTCCCCTGGGTGGCATTTGTGTAGAACCCCGGAATCCGGGGGGCACACAGTACGTGCCGGGAAGCAAACAGGTGCTAGGCTCAGCCAGCCCTACACACCTGCCCTCCCCTCGGTCTGGCCCTTTCGGTGGGTCTGCGACATCGTTCTCCATCGTCACCATGTTCCCTTGAGCGTTGACAATTCAGAGCAGCTGGCGAGCAGGATCGCAGAGTCATACCACGTGGGGCAGCGGCACCGGGTCGCCCCCATGCAGGTGCGTCAGGGAAACCCGGTGCGCTGGGCGCAGCAGAAGACACTTCTCATGGATACTGTGAACGCGCAGTGGACGCGCAGAGCTCATCTGCAAACACCAGGGGGCGCTCTTCTCATCTTGAACACCCTCCTTCCCTCCCCGACGGGAACCAGTTATTCTACACGAGGGCCCACTGGACAGTTTTGGCTCTTCATTCTTGGGAGTTTGTCAGGCGTTTTCTTGAATATGAACACAGCTTGTCTCCTTAAGGAAAACACTTGTCAACTTTAGGTTGTCAAGTGCCATCGAGTTGTTTCCAGCTCACAGCTACACTGTACAAGGTTTCCATGGAGCAGCAGGTGGTTCACCCCACCGACCATGTGGTCATCAGTCCAGTGCTCATCCTACAGCGCCACACCGGTGACAACTCCGAGTTTCCACCTAAATGTTAAGATTTCGGAAAGCGAGCCACAGTGACCTCCTGGACGCTGGTGCTGGAAGGCTGTTCTGGAGTGATGGGTGGAGGGGCTATTTCCGAATGTGAGTTTTGATCTCGTCTCATGTGGGAAGATCCGTGTTCCTCATTTTCAGTGCAGTCACGGAGCAGGGTAGACCAGGTTCTGAACGCGGCCATAGGGATTTCAAATTCCACGTTGTAACTATCAGCATGAGAATTGACCGATCTCCTGGACTAAGAAAGACTAGGATGACAGGCTTGGGGATCTGAGAGTCAGCCCAGGAAACTCTTAAGGTCTACTCCAACACCGATTAAGGATGGCACAGGAAGGGGCACGTTTTGTTCCATGGTGCTTGAGTCGCTCATGTTGGGGACAAAAGAGTATCCACAGCTCAGCGCGGAAAGGCTACCGAGACCCTCCAGCACTCCTCCCTGGTCTGCGTGCATGTCTGTGTGAGGAAGGGTTTTCTTCATCCATGGCAATGCATGCGACTTAGTGCAACAGATCGGTGCTCAGAACTCAAGCAGGACATGGAAGAGACTGGGCAAAAACGGGCTAATGCCACTCTGCTCACAAATCGATTTCATTTAGAAAATGTAGTACTTTCCATAAAGATGTGTTATTTGTGTCAATATGCCATGGGTTCACCTTTTTATGAATTAGGAATCATTTTGAAATGTCTCCGTTTTGACTGATCAACATGGAGACAGAGCCCATGCAGACAAACACTCTCTGGAGTCCTTCAGGATATTTGCATGTAAACATTCCAGTCTGTGGACCACTGCTCTGGATTGATGCCCCCGTCTTCAGTGCCTCTCCTTCTCCCCCTACCCCATGCTGGCAGTGGGGTTGGTAGGGCCTGTCAGACCCTCCACCCCTGCTCTCTCCCTCTGGGCCATTCTTACTGTCTCCTCCGCTCCTGACCCACAGCCTGCTCCTCTCATCCTTCACCTCTTGGACCACCTGGGAGGGGCACCTCATGTGCTGCCCTGGACAGAGTAAGAGGGATGCAGTCATGCATGTGTGCCTGTGTGTGTTTGCAGATGTGTGGTACAATTGTATATGTACATGCATACACATACGTGCACACATGTGTCTGTGCATCTACACATGGACACATGTGCATGCATGTCTGTGCATATACATACATGGGTACATGTATACATACATTGTGTATGTGTACCTGAAGATATGTTGTGTATGCTTTTGCATGTGCTTGTATGTGTGGGTACCCATGTGCATGTTTGTGAACATGTGGGTCCATTTGTGTATGTACATACACGCATGCATATGTGCCTCCGTATAAGTGTATGTGTTTGCAGATGCATGGGGTACATTTTTGCATGTACAC